ATAAATCCTTTAGCTTTACGACGGCTTTCATTTCGAAATGCGCACAACCGTACTGTGGGTTCCCAATAGCATGTTGTTGATGAGCCAAACACAAATATCAGATATTCCATCGTTCTGGAGCAGTAGCCAATTTCATGCCACCGTAGCAAACTATAGCATTTGCCCCATTCCGATTGGTTTGCTACGTTTGACCGTAGCAAACCAATCAGAATGCCGTATATGCCAATTTTCGCTACGGTCAGATTCGACCTTAATGAATCTGACCGTAGCGAAAATTGATCATATATGGGCAACACGCTACGGTGTATTTCTGAAGGATGATATTTTCTAAGCTATAGTCCATTGCGTAATGACCCGCAAACGGGCAGTTACAACCGTATTTTCGGGCGGGAATTCTTAAAACAATTAACGTTACGTATTATAAATGTCATCAATTTGTCAAAAAAAAACCCTTGAAATATAAACAAGGAAAGTAAACAAAATATTGCTAAATTATATTTTAGATTGATTTTATGATCCATGTTAGAACTAGCCTATGGAAAATCTGACCGTAGCATATGCTACAGTTGCAACGGTCTAAATCCGCCCACAGGATTGAGTGCTTTACTCAAAAAGTTGAGTTAATTTGCTCACTAAGTTGAGTTGTTTTACTCAATATTTTGAGTCACTGTGGGTGCATTGTTTTACTCATATTTTTGAGTCAAAATACTCCGGTATTTTTTGCAGTGTAGAGGCCCACTGTAATTGCTATAATCCAATGCGTCATTATGGTCCATACTGTACATGATGTGGTGAAGCATGCAGCCATCGAAACCGGTCATGTTGTGCTAACGAATCTGCACAAATTCACTTCTAAAGCATTGAATAATTACAATAATGAAACATTTGCATAGCTAGCATGACCTGTCTACTATGGCTAGCCTTGCCACTGTCTCCATCATAAACCCTTGCTAGATATGCAGTTAAAGGTAATGTCAAGTCCGTTCTGTGCATCGGTTCTGCTCATAACAAAGGGGGACCGGCAGATATAAACATTGCCCAAATTTCGCATCTTTCGAACTTTTTCTGAATTGATCTGGTTTATATTCATTTACGAGCATAGCAAACCACCAGAACAGTGTTAGATATTCAGTTTGCATATCATATTTTACAAATATAGCAGTTCGAAATGTAAACAAAGCGTTAGTTTATATTACAGACTTGACATTACCTTTAAAACATTGAAAAGAAAAATCGAGTGAAGGTCCATGCGTGATACAGGCCAAGCCTTCATGTACATCTTGTCGCTATGGCAGACACAAATTTATTTTGCACAAGTTCTCATTCCAATTTTTCCTGGCAGGGATAACTGTTGGCTCTACGAACGCTGAATAGGGAATTTTAACCGTTGTACAATTGATGTAAAACTACGGGGTTATACCAATAAGCATACAAATTTTCGAAAGATTTAAAATCACTATCCGGCGGATGCATCCATGCAACTGACGGGAGAGGAAGACATAATACAATCCTCCGAAAGTTGCCTTTTAACAGTGTATTTGGGAGCATTTGTCTTTTCCTATGTACACTGCTTTCATTATTCACAAATGTGGAACAATCTGAAAAATTAGCAGTTTTTAATCGGGCTAGCGCTCGCATTTTACTTTTTTCCTTGGAATGGTACAAAATAGGTGCCATTCAAAAGCTATAATTGTAAACTGATGCTAAAGTTGGATTAATCTACTTTATGCACCCCATACATATTTATAAAAATATTATATATAGGTCTGGATTCACATAGCATCTGGATTCACATTACATCCTGACTTATTGTGAACATCTGTTGTGTTCTCCATTGTTGTCATGCAAAAGATGGTTAATTAATGGTCACTAGTGTGATATGGGATTTTAACATTGCTCGTGCTGCTTAACAGCCACTCGGGGCCTTCGGTCCGTCGTGGGCGTTGTGGGCTATAAATATACAAGTAACAAAAAAATTTTCCTGGAATACAAAAGCACAAATTTTTCCGGACAATACAAGCTAAAAATGTTTTCCAGAATACATAAACAAAATTTTTTTCCGGACAATACAATAAAATTTTTTTTCCCGAGAGCGAAATCTTTAATTTTTTTCAGGAAATAATCATTTTGGGGCCTCGTTTCGAAAATTCGCGGGCCCCTCAGGAACAATTGGACCCCCTTCCTGATTTCACTTTGGGGGGTGTCACACATCCCCCCCAGTAGGCACGGTTTTGGGGGGAGCATGCCCAAAAACACACCTTATTCCCTCCATTGAAGAATTCCTAGCACCACCCCTGCAACATTTCAACTTAAAATTGGGCTATAAGATCAGTTATATTTTAATAGTTTCTACAGGCTAAAGATAGTTCCGATTTTGACCTAGACCGTTCTTTGGTTTAATACTACAGATTGTTTAATGTTACTAAAATATGCATAGGACATAATGTATTATGCAGTCTGATCATTGGCCAGAACGGATGAAAATAGATATGAATAGAAAATATGCAAGTAAAGATTTAAAATATTATATTTACAAACTTTTTGAATGTTCGCCATTTGCATGTTTTAAAACTTGAAAGAAAAAGCAGGAGTTAGAGCGGCTCGGAAATTACTGAAAATGATCGCAAATGCCGATACAATTAAAAAAAATTAACTCGAAGTCCAACTCGAACTCGGATCCAAACTCGATGTTTCGTGATTCCCTTGTAACTGCAAGGCAGGTTTCTATTTGTAACTACTTTCCGTCAAGCTGAAGGGGGGGGGGGCGAAATTTTCCCAAATTTCCCCATTGGGGGTGAAATTCCTAGGAAATGGCCCCTGTAGGGGATTTCCTTCGACACCAGGTGGCGCAAAAAAATGCCAAATGATTTTACTCGTATTATTTGTTGTTGTAAGAAAACACTTTATATTGCCAAGATTGCAGGTGCTTGAAATTCACAGAGAAATACTTTCACATTCAGTATATAACTGAGGAAATGGTGGTAATCAAATCAAAAAGGTTTGCTTGTATCAAGGGACACAGCGATCACAGTAAGAATATTGATATTTTTCTACTGTAGAAATTGTCCCAAGTGACATACATTATAGTTGAGTAGTAATATGCTTAGATTAAAAATGCCTCGTCGTGTGCGTATTGTATTTCTTGTAAATTGTTCAAATCATGAACTATCTAAGCGAAGATATAATACGCACGTGAAGAGGCCCATGGAGGACCAATGTTTGAATAAATCTGGAAAATAACACAGTTTCATTATCACACACTTTACTTTTTTAGTAAAACTACCGAAACACGCAATTATTTAGTAAAATGTGAATAACTTGCCTACCTTTTGCACAATTCTTTCTCCGCTGGTGAGAGGGAAGCGACAATCTCCTTGTTTTGGACAGTCTCCCACATAGGCCTAGCTTGAAATGAACTGAGGCTCATTTTTTCAGTTTCACCGCCTATTTCAAGGAAAATTTGTTAATGAAGTATTGAATGAATATCTTAAATCTTGATACAGACAAACCCTTAAAAGCAAGACTTGAGAAAAAATGAACAAACTCCGAAGACCATAGATGATGCAACTAGTCGTTATATAATCTTGAACGGTCTTGTGCCAATGTATAGGTAGTGCCAATATAAACTTTGCTGTTGTTTGTAGGTATGTGACTACCTGAAAAAATAAGGAGAAACTCGACGTTTCGAACAAAGTCCCTTCGCTACTAACTCTCCACGAAGGGCTACTAACTATAACTTAGACTAGCTATTTAGTCGTTATACAGGTATAAGCTTTTGTACCGAGTTCAACAGTAAGACTCTGAACATTCAAAAGCTATCAATATTTTGACTATATTATAAATTTAAAGGGTCTAATCAACTCTAAAAATCGTTCTGTCACCGTTTTTGGCCATTTTGGTGACAGAATAACACTGTTGGAGTTATTTAAATTGACTCCTAATCCAAAGTTCAGAGATAAATTTTGGAAAGAACACTGGTCAAAGGTAGACTGTATTTATACTATTTGAAAGCTCTACGATTCCGCTTTCCAACAATTGCTAATAGTAGCTAGCGAATAATTTTATTTTTAGTATATGTGATTGGAAAATTTAAAATTTGAGATAGCTCACTTTACAACAATTTATTACAAAAGTGCATGAAAAGTATGTCACAATCTTCCACGTGGCCACCATTTCTTTGTACACACAAATTAGTTCGACGTTGTGTTTCCCTGACGACTCTACTAGCTCAAACTTTACACACAAACCCTTTTTAAACAGAAAATTAATCAGCCTGACAGCATAAACTCAAAACAAAGGCCATTATTGTAATTTAGCTATAAAGCCTACAAGTTGGATTGCGCTTTTTTTATACACCCTGTAGAATATGCCATTTTGATTGGTTGACTTTCTTGCTAAAGGTGGAATTCCACTGTCGCGTTTTTCTTACATGCGTATACGCACGTAAAAGTTTAAATCAATTTATAAGTTGTTTATGAAGTAATTAAGTGAATAAGATGACAGCATTTAGTTTTGTGTATGATTTAAAGTGTATTTGTTGAGGTAATTAAAAATAATATAAAATTTAAAAAGATTTAAACTTTTACGTGCGTATACGTACGTAAGAAAAACGTGACAGTGGAATTCCACCTTAAATGTAGTTATTTAAGGTCAATGAGATGTTGAATGATCCAATCAAATTGATAAAGACTAGCTTTTGCAATGACGAAAATACATATTTTAACGCGCCGGCTAGGGCCAGCGTGCCACTAAAATCCATTGTTTCTTGCTTCTGTGGGTTTAATTGGATTTTGTACACTGATTGTGATCCCACAATTGGCTTAATTCTGGGACTGGGTGATCTCTCTCTCTCACTTGTGTCCCGGACTCTGGTGCATAGATCGGAAGACATTATGAAACACTAGCTAAATCTGCATGCACAAGCCATTCATTCTGCCACAGTAATAACTTAATAAAGTGTACGTACCTCCGTTTATTGAAACTTATCAGCCTTGCCAAGGTTAAAATTGCCAGTTTTCTTTAACCGGATTCTTGCGGACCTCCTCTGTAAGGGCTGGGATGTATTCGATCAAAAATTTTCTTAATATTAAAAGGTCATTGGTGACAGGAAGATACTGTGGTTTGTTGTGCTTTTTAAACGTGAGGGTTTGAAGTGCCTGACTTGTTACCTTAGCACTCCATTCGGTCTCGTACAGTTCAAGGAACAGATCTATCTCGCTTTTTGTTGCCATGTCTTTGTTTCTCAAAGCTTGGCCTTTTACAACAAATGCGGCTTTTTTTAAGGCATACCCACATTTGACCGCTGTCGATGGTGCCTTGAAGCGATCTGTATTCTGGGCACTTGATGTACCCGAGTATTCCCTGAGAGATCTTGCGCTGGCAATGAGATCATCAAAATGACCTGGCTTCAAGATCTCACAGAGAGATACAGATGGGGTTCCACAAAGCTCTCTACCCTTAATCAGCAAACGACCAAGTAGTCGCATTTGTTATGACACTTCGACAGCTTTTCCTGATCCACGTTTTTCTATCAATGTGGAACCAACAATGAGAATGGTTTCATCGGATTGAGCAACTGTACTGACATCATCCAGAGCCATTATAGACAAAACTCTGTCCGATAGCGTTTGGCTGCAACCCGTGGGAAATTTATTGGACGCCAAAAGTAACTTTCCAGCATATTGCAGCTTTTTTGATCAAACGTTCTGCTGATCCACATTTTCTGCCAAAGGGCAATTGGGGCTGTACCGATAAAGATTTTTTTTTTGAAAAAATCCATGGCAGAACTGGCAAGGGTAAATAATTTGTGGGGTTATTGTCCATGTTCTGTCCAGGTCTCTGTACCACCTTCAACTCTCCTTTCTGTAATACCAGCACTTTTAAATTGTGGTTGAAGTTGCCCATTCTGGTCAACTTCTCCAGCCCCAATTGCCGGGCCTTGTCGGTCTTTTTAGGCACATTACTTTTGCCACTTCCTCTTCGTCTTTGTGTACTTGGAAAAAATGACGACTAAGTTTCGCGAATTCTTTTCCACAAAAAAAGCAACTGTTTCGTTTTTCATAAATACGTCTTCCATTTTTCTCACTTACTGTCATTACATACACTATATGAAAAAAAGTTACTTACTTATTAAAAACTTGTTTACCCTATTAGGTACAACAACCTCAAGCTCTTTCTTAGCAGACTGTACTGTTTATTGCACTCTTGTTCCAACGGCCTCGTTTTTATTTCTCATGTATCGAGCACAATAGTTATAAGAAGGTTTCTGATTGAATATCAAAGAGAAACAACTCATGTGCACCTGTCATGCTAAAACATGGAAACGAGGCTATTGTGGCAGAAATGCAAAACTAATTCTAATTGGTGGCTGACGATAATTTTAATCCCTGTTCAAACTAGTGACGGTATTTATTTAGCGTATGTTATGGGTGCAAACATTGCCTTTTACAAGCTCTTTCCTGGTATGCTGTGTTGTTTAAACATTACTGGAGTATGCTAATAAATGTTTTTGTGGTATAAAAATGAAAACTGACAAAGGAGTTCGGACCCATAAGTGCAAGAAGAATGTAAAACAGAACAATGAAAACGAAAACGTGCTCCACGAACCTTACCTCCTGATTTCTTGGTTCTTTCGTACAAATCTTTTTGTGTGCTGAGATCATCATCCTCTAAAATAGTCGCAATACTTGCGTTATTTAAGTCCTGGTTCATAATTGGCAAATGGCCAATGGGGATGGTGAGTGATACCACTAATATTGTATAAAGGTGAGATACCACTAATATTGTATTTTCTTTGTATTGTATAAAGATATATGACTGAATGACAGTCGTACATTTCGTTATCTACCTTCAACGATGTATACGGCTGGTTCGACCTGTGCACACACGCTTTGTTTTATGAATTTTATGTATTTAACAACTATATGCTAAATTCGCTCACTGACTCTTACAATCAAATCCACTCATGGCAATGTTCGTCTGCAGGATATTTATTAAGATCTCGGTCCGGAAACACAATAACACATTTATCTCGACATTTACATCACGCAATTCATTTCTTATAATAACATTTTAATCACATTAAGGGCCCACAGTAATTGGTGTAAACTGTTGTGGTGTCCCCGCCTCTTTTTATGTCTCGTGTATATGAATTGTTGTGCTTGTATTGTGTAATTTTTTGTTAAGGCGAAGCTAAATAAATAAATAAATAAACATCAATGTATCGGCTAGAGTGGAACATCTAGATTTTTTAACTACCAAATATTTCTAGCTGTAACGTATGTTTAATTTGCAACACAAGAATCGTAATTATAGAATATATACCTTGAAGAGCATCGTCGTCCATATCTGAATCGTCCCCCATGTTTGAATCGTTGTCCTTCTTGGATTTATCGTCATCCATATCTTAATCGTCGTCTATAAAGGAAAGAAAAGTTTATTTATATGATTTACATTTTTGATGGTTCTTATTACAACTACAATAATATCATAACTGTTACAGTTAAAACCAATCATCATTTGTGTAACAAATGACACATTTACAATATTATGCAGAGTCTTTGACTTTGGGAACACATGTGGGCTAGATTCTTCAGTAATTTAAAAAGGACTATCAAGTGCCAGCGAACAAATTTTAGAGAAAAATCATGACAAAATACCTTAATAATATAAAGTCTTATTGACAACGTTTTGTTGAAAAGGAAAACTTTATATTAATTTGGTTCATAAGTTATTGATTCAGAAGTTTCTACATTTCATGTGGCTAGCCCGTTCGCTTAAGTCGCAGTGTTTTTGCAGTTTGCTGATGGTATTTTATGTTTAGCTAATCCACTATACATATGGCGAGGGAAGTAATTAGTATGCAATAAATTAGTATTCATAAGGGTGTGATGATATCATAGGTGTACGTACGTAAGATGACGTCATGACTGTAAGTACGAAGATGTGCGTACATGTACCTACATAATTTACTTTGTGTTTATATATGCATTGTAGACTGTGTGACGTAAGTTCTATTGGCAGAGAAATAAGCTAATTTGTATATAGTCACATGGACTATGTGACGTCATCAACAAACTGGATGTAGAAACTTAAAAGCTCCTAAACAGAAATAGATACTGTCAAATGGAAAACGGCAGTAGTGCATATTTTAAAGGGTTTTTTTAGGGATATAAATATATTTTTAGTTTTGCTGTCGTAGTTGGTTTCGTTGTCAGGATAAGGTTCAACCTCAGGGCTTTTTCGAGATCTGCTTTAAATTCAGGGTCTCTGTTGGATTCGAGATTGTGGTTAATATCATCGTTGGTGTTATTTTCGGGCTTGGGTTAATTTGTGCTTGTTGTTGCTTTCATGCACAAGGCTTGTTTTGAGGTCGATGTTACTTTATGTGGTGCCGTTAATTTCGCGATTTGCCTTATTTTGTGGTCTGTCTTATTTTCATGGTCGGTCTTAGTTTCTTGGTCAGTGTTCGTTTCGTGGATGGGGTTAGTCTTGTGGTCAGACATAGTTCCGTGGTCGGTGTTTGGAAGCTGGAGTTAATTTCGTGCTGGCGATTAGTTTCGTGGTCGGAGTTAGTTTTGTGCATGCACATAGCTAGTTTCGAGATCCAGAAGTTTATTGCATATCTTCGTTAGTTTTGTGGATGCTGGCAATGGCTTCAATGTTGGCCTTAGTTTCATGGTCGGAATTTGTTTCGTGCTCGGATATATAGTCTTGCGGACGGGGTTCATTTTCTGGGCGGGGTTATTCTTGTGGTCGGTCTTAGTTTCGTGGTCGGTCTTAATATCGTGGGCATGGGATCGTTTCGTGGGCGTGGCTAGTCTTGCCGTTGAACTTAGTTCCATGGTCGGTGTTTGGAAGCTGGAGTTAATTTCGTGCTCGCGATTAGTTTCGTGGTCGGAGTTAGTTTTGTGCAGGCACATAGCTAGTTTCGAATTGCAGAAGTTTATTATATGTCTTTGTTAGTTTCGTGGATACTGTTATTTTCATGGTGGCCTTTAGTTTTGTTGTCGTAGTTTGTTTCGTCATCAGGAGAAGGTTCATGTTGGGTTCGATGTCGCCGTTAATATCATCGTTGGCGTAATTTTCGGGCTTGGGTTAGTTTGTGCTCGTGGTTGCTTTCATGCACAAGGCTTGCTTTGAGGTCGATGTTACTTTATGTGGTGCAGTTCATTTCATGGTTCGCCTTAGTTTTGTTGTCCGTCTTATTTTCATGGTCGGTCTTAGTTTTGTTGTCAGTGTTCGTTTCGTGGACGGGGTTAGTCTTGTGGTCAGACATTCTTCTGTTCAGACATTCTTCTGTTGTCGATATTTGGAAGCTGGAGTTAATATCGTGGTCACGATTATTTTCGTGGTCGGAGTTAGTTTTGTGCATGTACATAGGTAGTTTCGAGTTCCAGAACTTTATTGTATGTCTTCGTTAGTTTTGTGGATGCTGTCGTTTTCACGGTGGCCTTTAGCTTTGCTGTCGTAGTTGGTTTCATGGTCGGGGTTAGGTTCGTCTTCAAGGCTTTCTTCGAGTTCTGTGTTAAATTCAAGGTCACTGTTGGTTTCGAGATCAGCGTTAATTTTATGGTTGTAAAGTTAAGGTGGTCTGCGCCGGAGGGCTATGCTAATTGGTTTCGTGGTCTGGGTTAGGTTCATCCTCGGGGCTTTTTTCAAGGTCTGCGTTAATTTCAAGATATCTGTTGGTTTCGAGATCTTCGTTAATATTGTTGTTGGCTTCATTTTTGTGGTCGGGTTAGTTTCGTGCTTGTGATTGGTTTGGTGTGCAGAGTTTATATTTTGCGGTCGGCGTTATATGATGTGATGCCGTTAAGTTCAATGTTGGCCTTTGTTTCATGATCGGTCTTACTTTCGTGATTGGAGTTATTTTTGTGGTTGGTCTTAGTTTGGTTGTCGGGGTTTGGACGGTGGAGTTAATTTCGAGTGCACCATTAGTTTCGTGATCAAGATTTTTTTCGTGCTCAAGGCTAGTTTCGATCGTTCCAGAAGTTTATTATATATCTTCGTTATTTTCGTGGTTAATGTTAGTTTCTTAGTGGGCTTTGGTTTTGCTGTCGTGTTTGTTTGGTGGTTGGGGTTAAGTACGTTCTAAAGGCTTCTTTCGAGGTCTGCGTTAAATTCAAGGTCTCTGTTGGTTTCGAGATCGGCGTTAATTTCATGGTTGGCCTTTTGAGAATTATTGTCAAAAAGGCTAATTGGCCTTTTGATAATTGGACAATTTTTTTTTGTCTGGCCTTATGACAAGTGCGGAACAAAACTCAAGTTATGGTGGTCTGAGCCGTTTTAACTTTAGGAGCCACGCCCAATGCCTAACTGGCCAGTGATAGTCTCCTGACGTCAACTCTTTTGCACAACTTAAGGTGGCTGTATGTAGTTTAAGTCGATACGAAAACCACATTTGAAGTTTAGGTAACTCTTTAATTTTTTGCCAGAATGGCTTCATACTTGGGCGGATGGATGTTGGTCCGAGGGCGTATCGATTGGTTATTATGAAAGAGGCGTGTTCGACCACGCCCAGCAAAGTTGTTCATAATGGTCTGAAACACGTTCTGTCAAAAGTTTGAAAAATGGGTTACTCAGATCGACACGCTCTGTCATTTTGCTTACCACATATTGCCGAGGAAACGCGGATTTTTTTAATTTTCATCCTCCCCCTACCATGTTGATAATTAAATTATATGTGTTCGAAATCTAGTTTGCCTGAACCAACATTGTTCTAGAGGGCGAGGGGGGGGGGGGGGGGGGGATTAAGGGTGAATAGTTGATTTGATTTTAAAAAATACTCATATTTTCATTACATCTCTTCCAAGCTGGATGTACTTTTCAAAAAGTCCACAGATATTTTTTCCTAGATTGTTTGAAATAATAGACTGTTTAATCATTTTATGAAGTTAATTGTACATTGATGGTCAAAGCAAATTGTACATTGTATATCTGTTACAACACGGCCGCTCATGTTGTTAATAGTACTTAGAGACCAGTGGTGTAACGTAACGCTTGCTCGGGGCAAGTGAATATCATGACGGGCAAGAAAAAGTTTCTTCTTCCTTGCCTGAATGAGCAAGTTGCTTTGCCACAAAAAGCTGGCCATCTTTAAGTTTATTATATTATTAGATTTAGGCAGTGGAAGCAATTTTAAAGGCTGTTCGACGACATTGGCTCAGGCTGGCAAATCATCTACATCAAATTCATCTCTAAAGGCGTTGTTACATTATGCAACTTGTCTCACAACATGTCTCACAATTTTGTTGTGCGCAAGTCGCACGCAAAATTGCAAGGTGTATCATGCCTCGCAATCAACAAGTCTCACAACATTTGTGTTGCAACAAGCATTGCACGAAGTAGAATCAGGTTCTACTTTTTGCAACTATTGCGGCAACGCATTTTTTAAGCATTGCACAGTGTAACATCCCTCTTGCAACTTGTCTCGCAATGTCTACTCACTGAATGGCTTCCTATTGGCTCTTGGCTGATAATTTGGTGCTAAACGTTATATAGCACTCGCGGATTTTCTGCTATTTTTAGCCATGAGCATTGCGATCTTGCATGAAGTATATCGCTAGGTGTGACATCGCTTGCAATGCAATGCTAAAATCGTGTTTTTTTAACAATGGTGAGAAATTGCGAGACAAGTTGCATAGTGTAACAGCGCCTTAATGAGTAAATATGTTGTCCCCCTAATTTATAGCTCCCCCCCTAGGTACCCCATTGCTTTTTACCCCCTAGGTACCCCATGGATTTTATTCAGGGCAACCAATTTTCATGTCCAACTTGCCCTGAGGGCAAGTGGTCAAAAAAGTAAAGTTACACCACTAGAGACTCTACTTGCTATACACGGCCCACCTTAGAAATCTTTCGAATGGCCTCAGATAAGAGTTTTGTCGAAAATATGTGGTAATCAAAGTTATAGAGCTTGTGGGCATGAGTAAAAATCATATACCTTTAGCTGAACAGAACATGCACTGGGTGAAAAAGATTTGCTTGCTTTTGGAGAAAAAGTGTAAAAACCTCAACAATTGTGTGTGTATACTCATCATGAAGATAGACGAGAAGAACAGTTTAAAATGAATATCCTGTTGTTGAAAAATATTTACAAACATCAAAACCCCTATTTACTAAGTATGTAAAACGTATGTCAACCCTAAACTTGTTCTGTCTGATTTATTTGTTCCTTCTGCAGCTGCAAAATTTGTCTCGCAGCTGCTGGTCTGTGTACAGTCCTCCTGTACCAGGCCATGCTGTTGTGCCTCCTCATGATCGTGCAAGGCTTGGATAATTTCTGCCTTGGATGCGTTGTCAACCAGGTGGGATGTTGCTTTGCGAATCACCGCCGTCTGCATGTCGGTAAATATCTTTAAGAATTCCTAGAATTCTTCGGTATCACCTTCGGAGCTGCTATCTCTTCGACCTCCAATTCCTCCTCTTCCGAGCCTAAAGATACATCAGTATTTTCAAGCTCTTCTTCCCATGGCAGGTCTTCTATTCTTTTAGGCTTTGGTTTGGACAACTTCTTCGCTGCCTGTTTCATGGACGCCTGGCGTCTCTTGCCATTCACGGTTTTGTCCATACCATGCATATTAACAAGGTGCCGGTCGACACGAGCGACCATCTTGCAACAACCAGGGTGTGGGCAGGGGATAGGGCTGGTTTTTTGGGAGGTCCCCAACTTCACAAGGCGTTTCTCTCCGGCCAAGCGCTTCGCTTCCTGCGCCCGAGCTTGTGCTTGAGTTTAAGGTGAGACAGAAGGACCTTAAGAGCGGTTGTCTGTAATAGTCAGGTAAGACGTGTAAAATGAAAAAAATCAAAATCTTTCAAACTTTGTCAGAATGTAGGCCTATATGAAGTATTAATGTTGTGAAAGTTTTATTTCGATCGGATAAATATTGAAGGAGAGAGACGTCGAAATTGGTTTTCCCAGGCCACTTTCGGTTTTTAGAGGTCATTTTACGGCACTACCAAAATCGCTCTATTTTGCACGTTAATGGGAATATTTCACGAAGTATGATTTCGTTTTATAAATTAAAGTTATTTATTGAGTAGCAGACGAAATTTAGAGACATTTCTGTAAAAAGTGAATATTTTACAGATTTTCTTAATGATTTTTATTTTTGAACCTCTTTATTATATGCCATATTAGGCAGCGAATATCTCCATTGTTACATCGATTCAGACAAAAAGTTCATAACCAGTTCAAAGAAATATGTTTTTGCTTGCTATTGATCAAAAAAAATTTGGGGGCAACGTAGAATTGAATTTTTGACGATTTTTTTCGTAACCCCTATTTGACCCGAATAACCGTATGTTATGTAATCAACGTCGAGTCATGTAGTTCTATAAATAACCAAAGAGCTCGTCAAAAGCGTTTACTTCTTCGAGTAAACAAGCCTAGGCCTATAAAACTACCTTAGCTAAAGCTGTACGATTGGCAGAAAGCATTTAGGTATAAATCACACTGTTTATAGTCGCTTATTGTTCAGGTAATGCCTATAATATATTGTATAGCCGGCGCCGCTGATTTGGCGGATTTGGTTTTAATTATATTTTATCGGGGATATGCCGCGATAAGTATAGCAAGTGTATTTTCTCTCCCCTTCCCATAAACATCTGTTCTTTCACGACTCGTCATGCTTATAACTTTTCGAACATAAATAGTGCACGCGCTTTTTGTCAAAAACATCGGTCATTTTACGTTGAAATTGTAATTTGTTTACTTACAGTAGTTAATTTAATTAATATTAAAGCTGGATTCTTTCACCGTGATGTAACGCCAAAAGGTGTCTTTTCTATTTTTAAAAAAGACCCGCTGTTGATTTATGATTTGGTAATATTTACTACAGTTGTATGTCTTGTATATTTGATTATTTTGTTGTTGCTCAATAACTTTGGTCAAACTTCAGACCAAACTTCTACGCACTGTTACTTATTAACTGGCCATCACTTTTAAAACAGCAAGAAGATAAAGACAACGTGTACGTGTGAGTTATCCATGAAGTAAATAGTTGGTTTACAAAATGAATTCCGTCTTCGTGGATAAAATTAATGAGTTATAAATAATCTCTCCTGTTTGTGTTAAGCTACATGTAGGGATTTCCCCCGGTATATTTCTTCTCTTTTGTATGGCTGTTTGTGGTTACGCGTTATCTGACATATACTTTTGGTCCAATTTCAATTACATTTATCCAACCATTTCTGAATGATACATCTAGAACACTCAGACAGTTCTCAGGCCAAAAAAGTCAACTTGAAAGGGGGCCCAACTTTCCCAGAGGGGGCCCCGGAATGCTGGAATTGCGCAACGTGTTCTAAAATTGAGGTCGAAAAAGGTCTGAAAAGTATTTTGAACCCCCCATTATCACAAAAATAATTTTTGGAACGTTTTTCCCAAAAAACGTCGCCCCACCCAACCAACCAACCCCCTCCCACCCTTTACATTTTACTGTAACATTTTTGCTTTACCAGAAAACATTTTGAGGGGGCCCCCGAAAAGGAAGGGGGCCGAATTTTTTAACCGGGGGGAAATGCCTACATGTAGCATTTAGTACAGGAGAGATTATTTATAACTAATTTTTATCCACAAAGATGGAATTCATTTTGTAAACCAACTATGCAGTTAATTAATTAAACTACTAAATAAGCAACAGCGTAGAAGTTTGGTCTGAAGTTTGACCGTTTTCTCAGAACAAATTCAAACTTATTGAGCACTAACAAAATAATCAAATATACAACTGTAATTAATATTACCAAATCACAAATCAATATATAGAGCCGGGATCTTTTTTAAATTAATTTTAACAAATGGAAAAGACACCTTTTGGCATGACATCATGGTGAAAGAATCCAGCTTTAATATTAATTAAATTAAAACTCTTTGCGAGGTCGTCCTCGAGAGGTTGACGGCTAGAAATTTCATATCTTCGGATCAGTACATGCTATGCCTATATGAAGACAGAAATACCACCATTCGATTCAGAAATAAAAAATCAACTAATTCCGAACGATAGTTATAGCCATTATTAACATTGTAGCGATTTATGGGAGTTTGAAAGTCAAATGCGATCGTATACTATCAAATTACTTCGAGCCTCGAGCTCACAGCCGGACAAGAAATGGAAATACCGTGATAAAAGATGCAAATTTGAAGATACAGGCTTGCAAGTAACACTCTAAATAGTGTTTTTGATGGGGATTCGAACAGGACTATTACAAAGACGATATGTTTGAAGGGGTCGAAGTTATTTTCGGCGAAAGGTATGGCCAGTCTATATTTTTGTTCTGACAATCGCGTGAGCTATCCCAACCGGAAATACGACTAAAAAAACGTCAAAACAATGCGACGTTTGCATCGTATGTCCTTGCAAATGGCCTATGCTTTTTACAAAAAGCGTGTGCACTATTTATATGAGAACACGAGTTTATGGGAGGGAGAGAGAAAACATACTCGCTATACTTATCGCGGCATATCCCTGATAAAATATAATTGAAACCAAATCTGCCAAATCAGCGGCACCGGCTATCGAGTATCAGGCATTAGCTGAACAATAAGCGACTGAAAACAGTGTGATTTAGACCTAAATGCTTTCAGCCAATCGTACAGCTTTAGCTAAGGTAGTTTTATAGGCCTAGGCTTGTTTACTCGAAGAAAAATAAACGCTTTTGACGAGCTCTTTGGTTATTTATTGAACTACATGACTCGACGCTGGTTGTATTAACATACGGTTATTCCGCTCAAATAGGTGTTACGAAAAAATTCGTTAAAAATTCAATTCTAAGTTGCCCAAAAATTTTATTTGATCAATAGCAAGGGAAAACATTTTTCTTTGATCTGGTATGAATTTTTTGTCTGAATCGATGTAACAATGGAGATATTCGCTAACTGATATGGCATATAATAAAGAGGTTCGAAAATAAAAAACAATAAGAAAATCTGTAAAATATTCACTTTTTACAGAAATGTTTCTAAATTTCGTCTGCTAATCAATAAATATCTCTAATTTATAATACGAAATCATATTTTGTGAAATATTCCCACTAACGTGCAAAATAGAGCGATTTTGGTAGTGCCGTAAAATGACCTCTAAAAATCGAAAGTGGCCTGGGAAAACCAATTTCGACGTCTCTCTCCTTCAATATTTATCCGATCGAAATAAAACTTTCACAACATTAATACTTCATATAGGCCTATATTCTGACAAAGTTTGAAGGATTTTGAATTTTCTCATTTTACACGTCTTACCTGACTATTACAGACAACCGCTCTTAAGGCCTCAGTTGCCTAGTAATACTTCTGTAAATAGTAATGAACAGTGTGATGCTGATTCATCCACTTTATTGACGAACGTACAACCTCCTAAGAGACCTCCACATTGTTCAACATGCCATCATACAAGAAACGGGCATGGCAAGGGATCTTCTAATGCTAAATGCACTATGTGTCCAGATAATATATGCTCAGCTAGTGGACGTAGTAAGCCATGTATATGTCATTGGCACATATCTCAACAAAATTCTATGGAGACAATTATACCATATTCTGTTGTTAAATTTACTAATGTCAATTATGTTAATGAATATCTTCTATCTTTTTGTCAGTCCAACAAGGACAGTCAATCATTGGGAAGTAATGCATGTACAATTATTGCTGTCTTAGTTGCTATTAACTTCCTTTCTGATACTGCATGGTTTTCACAACACCACCTCCTCTCAACATTGGATTCCAGTTTCCTTGCCTACAGCTACCAACTGTTCACTGAGGGAAACCAGATGTACGAGAGCCTTGATGAGGAACAAATTAATTATTGTGCACCTGAAATTCTTGAGCATCCAGAACTTGGCTTGATAGACAATGCTGAAAGAGGAGAAGAATATCAGTTCAACAATTTTGCAGACTTTTTGTTAGAATTACAAATGTTATCTACAAAAAGAATTAAATTAGCTTTTGTACTTATTTTTCATCCTGATAAATCAATGTCACTATTAATTAATGAACTTGGTGAAAGTATGTTAATAGATAGTCACTCACATTTAGATACTGGTGCTATTATTGCTACCGCTTCAGAAAATAAACTACACTTAGCTGTATGGTCAATTATATTCAAGAAATGATTCTTAGAGACTGGGGGAATACAGTTCAGCCACCATTTGACGTGACTACTGTAAAACTTAAGGCATGCTAGTAAATCTAAATCATCCCTATTGATAATACTTTGCTAGACAAAATGGCTATTAATGATTTATTAATAAACCAACTGGGGGGGGGGGTACCCATGCAGGTCTAATATACAGTATTAGTTAATTAATGCTCGAGTTAATGTATAATCAAATCATTGTGGCTTTTATCTATTATAGATGTATTTACTACCATTCAATAAATTTGGTAAAATACATCTAATACACTTTCCCTTTGAAAAATTAAATTGTCTGGCATGACAAAAGCAAAGTAGGGCACACTTTAGTATTTTCCACTTAAAAAATCAATCAATTTATGGATTTAAGCAGCAATGGTTGGATGCTTTTAGTGAAATGTTTAATAGGTCAAATGTGCATTATTAGTAAGGGAACTGTCAAGTCCAATACCCTTCGAAAAAGGTGGGGACGATTTAGTGTATTGTAGGCCGTCCCTGTTTAGAAGGATGACAAGATATTCCCTTGTCATGGGCACATCCAAACATGTACAGTATGACTCAGATGTCATACATGATAGTATAATTTTATTACTAGGTCTAGGTTAAATTGGGTAGGTCAAATAAAATATTTTGGACAAACAGTTTCATGCTAAAAATGCGATTATGATGTTCAAATAAACAATAGCTCTGAAGGATTATACAAATCTACTGTATGCCAACATACAGTACCGTCCAAAGGAAACTATACATCGAGTATCGAGCGTGTTTCGCGTTCGAGTGAGAAACATTATCGAGCGTCTCGCTTCTCGAATCGCGTTACCTATCGAGTTTCGCGAAACGCGATTCGAGTCGTTGCAATGCGAACCGAAGAGATTTTCGAGTATCGAGTATCGAGTATTCGCGAAGTTCATGATAAATGCGTTTACTTTATAAGCTCGTTTTAATTTGAGTGTAGTTTGTCCTTACACATGGCGGGTTTGTATATATTAACGTTTGCAACAACAAATCGCAGAGACGAAGACATTTACCATAAATTTATCGACAGGAACTAAAACAGAAATATTTTAAATAAGAATGACATACCAACTGTATAGACCACACCAGAGACAAAGAAGGCTACTTGCTATGTACGCATCCCAATGCTGATACTTTGTTCTTTTAAACTGCTATACCAGTCTTATCATCCCATTGATTAAACAGCAAATTAATGTACTCATACCGTAACCGTAGTTTCTTTCTGTCATTTCGCATGTTTCCTACAGAGCTATCACAAGTAAATACGAACGCATATGCATATTTCATCCGGTTAATTTGCATTTCAAAACCGGCATGCAAATGGCGAAAATGTAACACTAAACCTTACTGTGTGTGTGTGACAACAATATCAATCCTAAACCGCCACACAACCGAACAAGCTCTCAGGTTAAAGCCACGTAAAGAAGTAGAAATAGTTTCTAATTTTGAAGTTTTACAATGGGCAGACTTTCAAGTTACGCTAAACAAAGAATTTTGCATTTACATTCAACGAAACACAAGATCTCGCATATGCGTTTTTAATCATCTCGTTTTAATTCGCAGTCTTCATAGACGTTTGGGTAGTTAGTAATTCTATTGCAAAACAAACTCCGAATAGTAGCGTCTTGTGCTCTCAATATCTGAGTTATCAACAAGAATACACGATATACAGTACAGCAATATTTCAATTTTATTTAAAAATCATTGTCAAAACTCCATGCTACTGCATGTCTTGTATTCTTGTCCTAACTCAAATCTTGAGAGCACAACTAAGATGTTATACTATTCAGGTTTGGTTTTGTATTTCCTAAAGTTGGAAAATACTGAAATTCGTCCGGTACCATGTAAATGGGGTCTGAAATATTGAAAGATTTAATTAACGCGATTCATTTTCGACGCTTCGCTAAGGTTAAAATCTGTGAATAATTATGTACCGATAGAGCTGCGAGACAACTAAATAAAACTTAAAACCATGGCGTCTTAAAACAATATCTTGTGCCTAAATCGTTTAGTAAAAACAAGGTGAGACTTCCATTCAGGCATATGTTCGCTGCCATGAAGTTTTCGCTCTTTCCAGACACACCGGACGCGATTCGATTCGGTTCCGAATATTTAAGAAACATTGAAAAATATTAAAGTTAATTTAAATGTCATTGAAAACTGAAGCGTCGCGTTGCCAAATCGCGTCCGGTCTGTATGGGCCTTTAACATAACCTTTATCGAGCGCGATTCGCGATAGCAGTAAACAGATTATTCGAGCGAGTCATTACGCGTAACGAGCGAGAGGTCGCGATAGCGCCCCTCGCAAGCTTTCGCGTCGCGCTTCTCGCTCGAACATTCTCGAAACTCGCTCGAAAAAATGTATAGTTTCCTTTGGACGGTACTGTAGCTTACTGAATACTGATAGCTATTAAAAGGGTATTGATATGAGTTTATGTACTAAGTTTTAACATAGCCTATATATAGGTCTGGGTAGGTCAATTATCTGTTGGAATGCACTTGATTTGCATGCCTGTCTAGCAATTGTTTATTTGCTTTGGTAATTACAAAACTTGTAAAATAGTGTTTAGTATTTAGATTGTGTATAGGCTAGTTAAAAATGACATGGTTATAAATTGCTTGCTTGAATGCATACGTGGACAAAACTACAGTATAAGCTTAAAATGTTATAAAAAACGTTTAGTAAGTTTAGTATAGTCTAAAAAGCAAGCGATGTAACCGTCTCATTTAAAAACAAAAATGAGGTTTAGCTGGGTTGAGTTCCGCCAATGGCCCCGGCTGGGTCCGGTACGAGGTTCTTTTAACCTTTTTAAACCTCACCTGTACTTAGTTAGGGGTTCAAAATAAAAAGAAAAAAAAAGTTTATTTTCTTCATGTACAAAACAAATTTTGAAACGTTGCGCGGCAAAATGACTACATACGAAAAGTATACTAGCTTCTACTGTATGAAAACATTAGAAACCTAAGTAAAGAATGTCCAAGTTTAATGCCAAACAACAGATGCAATGCAAGGTCGGTGAGGAAACTAAATACATTTTTGCGAACATTGTGACATAAACAACTGGGCCAGGAAGCCTTTTCCCGTAACTTGGCCCGGTTTGTTTACAAGCGAGCAAACTTGCTCAAGTTTCAATCTTGTATTTCATTCGCAATTTTCATCCCCAGGGAATTATACTCAAATGAATTATTGATCAAAAACTTGCTTCTGTCCTCAAACTCTCGAGCAAATAATATTTAAGTTAGGTCAAACTTCTTGCCAAATTTTCAATATCAAAAGTTTTCATTGAGTAGAGAGACGAAGCGACAAAGTCAGCTCGCAATTCCTACAAAGTATTATCTCTGCAAACCAACCCGCGCGACTCAAAACAGCCTCATGCTTGAGGTGCAAGGTCGATCAAATAACGAAAGGTATTTTTTGAATCAATACAGCATGATTTCAATATGTATTAAGGGAAATCCTGTAACTCGAGCTCTTTACATTTGTGTAGCCATTTTAATGCGATTGACTCAATTACGAAATAACCTTTATTTCCAAAATGTATTATGTGAACAAAAGCTGCTTACTTTTATTGCAAATATTCATATGTCATGATAGTATATAATTAAAATACGTTAGGGACCGGTCATTATTTATGGTGGGGGGTGGCACCGAAGAGAAAAGGGTTGGGTAAACTAAATTTTGAGTAAGTAAAAGGTTCGGTAAATGAAAACAAAAACAACTCAAGGGTTGGGTAATAAAAAATTATTGTCATTTCCAAAGCATGACTCACTGAAGTATTGGGGACTAAAAAGCAATGGCAACAGTAGGCCCTACTCTGGGGCAATAACGAGATAATGCGAGTTTAAGCAATTTTAGGTGATTTAAGCAAAATCTGCAATATAAGCAATGAGAGTTTGAGCGATATAGGGTAATGTAAAAAAACAATTAAAATTTTAGGGAATGCTGTTTTAGGTGTTTAGAGGTAATTTCAGGCATGGGCGTACCGGAAGGAAAAATTAGGGGGGGGGCGGAAAGAAAATTGCCCGACTTTTCGTAAAATTGCCAGACTTTTCGTGATTGTGCCCGACTAGTACCAAAAATTTTTCCCCGAAAAATTATTTTGGCGACCCCCCCCCGTCGCCAAAAAATTTCGGTCAGTGTACCATTTAAGGGGTCAAAAAAATTTTCCGGACATACCAAAATTTTTTAGGACCATCACATAAATTTTCAAGAAAACACTACATTGGCCACAAAATTGACTAAATTTTTATAACAAACC